AGGCCATGCAGGATCATGCAAGATGCTGCAGGATCCTGCAAGATCCTGCACGCCAGCCCGGGTCAGTGCACCCCTGGCCCTGCAGGATCCTGTCAAATTCTGGCGCTCTGACTGACACCCGCTCGCACTGACCCCCGTCTCCAAGCCCCCGACGGACGTGGCCGCGCCCTCGCCGGCCGGGCGCATCCCTCCCAGGGCCCCGCAGAAGGGGGACTCCTGATAGGCCAGGGCGCCGGCCCATGCCCCGGCAGCTACAGCCGCGGGGCCGAGACGACCTCCCCGTATCGGCCCTCTCCGTGCGGATTCGGCATCATGCTGGACTGGTGTGTTCGTTAACGGGGGGAGGGGGAGGGGGGGGCAATACACAAGGGGTACCTTGCCATCGCGCGGGCGTCCGTCCCCCGTGTAGCTTTGCGGTTTCGTGCGCTTCGTTTTCGCAAGATGCTCCAGGATGGTCCTCAGTAGTCCCCGCCGGCAGAAACAAAATCACACGTCCGAGCGATGCCAAGGTGAAGAAACGCGCGCCCGTCGCGCACAGTTGGACCTCAGTTGGAGCCCGCGGGGGCAGCTTGGGGGGGGGCCGCTCAGGGCCCTCTCGGAGCCGCTCTCCTGCAACCCCCTGTCGATCTCCCCCCACGTCTGCTTGCCCCCCGTGGCCGCCCGCCCGATCCCTGCGGATTCGGCATTACACCAAGGACAAACCCTCATCATTGGATGGTTTTCGCTGAGGAGATCGACCAGGAACCTGGGAGCCTGGGAGCCCAAAACCCACCGAAATCGGCCCGGAACCAATGGTTACCGGGAACCCGGGAACCCTGAACCGGGAACCCGGGAACCCAGCCTGCTACCAAAACCGGGGGGAAACTTTCGCCAAATCTTCCCACTTTCGCTAGGACCCCTTCAGTGCAAGCGCTAATTGGGGAAAAAGGCCTGAGGAAGAGGTGGATCTGGAGGAGGAGGAGGAGGAGGAGGAGGAGGAGGAGGAGGAGGAGGAGGAGGGGAGGAGGAGGAGGAGGAGGAGGAGGAGGAGGAGGAGGAGGGGAGGGAGGGAGGGAGGGAGGGAGGTAGGAAGGATGAGGAGGAGGAGGAGGGAGAGGAGGAGAGGAGGAGGAGGCGGAGGAGGAGGAGGAAAAAAGCCTGGGTTGCAGTGCACTGGTCCCTGGGGGCCTGGCCATCGCGCAGGCGCAGCACGCGGAGGCCCGCCGGCGGAGCCTCCGGGGCGGCGTCGCCCCCTCCCGCGGAGCAGGACGGGGTCGGAGGATCGCGCCGCACCGCCCATGCATCGGCGATGCACCGGCTGCCCAAGAGGGCCCGCTGACAGGCCAGGAGCCTCCACAGACGGCCCAAGAGGACCCCGATGACGTCCCCCCCCCCGCCGAGGCCAAGACCGCATATTCCCCATAAGTTCTTGAAAGCTGTCCATGCTCTCGCCGTTTCGGGCCCAGAACGCCCCAGACGGCTCTAGCGGTGCACCCGCGACGTCGGCGATGCGTCGGCGACGTCGGCGTGGAGAAGATCGGGCCGCACGTCGAGCCGCATCGCCGATGCATCGGCCATGCGGCGCGATCCCCCGACCCCATCCACAGTTCAAGACTGCTGGTCAGGATTGGCGGCGGGGATGCAAGGGCCTGGGACGCTCACGCGGCAGCTTTTCGAGCGGGGCTGGCCGTCGACAAGTGGTGGAGGCTGGACCGAGGTTGACCGAAGAGGCAAGGATGCGACGGTACCCTTGACTGCACTGGACGAAGACACGCCAGAAACATAAACTTTAGGCGCTCCGCGGGGATTTCTTGGATCGGCGCCGGACCCCCCACCGCGGCGCGCGGAGCGCGCCATGGGCGGCGCCGGAGGCGCCGCTGGAAGGGGGCCCAGCGCGGATCCAAGAGATCCGCGCGGAGCGCCAAAAGCTTATGTTTCTGGCGTCACTTCTTTTTGTTGGCCAGCAGCGTGCAGCGCGAGCTGGGCCGCGCCACCCCGCCGCGGCGCTGGGGCCCACGGGCCGCCGAGGGAGGGGCCGCCGGCGGCCGCCAGGCTCGGCGGTGTCAGCGCGCGCGCGGCCCCCGAGGCTCGAGCGCCTGGCCCTGCGGCCCGCCGGGGCTGCCGCCATCAGTCCAGCTCCTGCCGGAGGCCCTCGCGGCCCTCCTCTTGCCATCGCTCGGACGCCCGTGCCTCGCTCGCGTGTCGGTTTCGTGCGCCTCTCCCTGTCGCAGGGTGATGCAGCACGACCAGGCATGGCCGCGAGGATTGCTTGATTGCTTGACTCGATGCGTGGAGAAAAAAGAGCTTCTCAGTGGCTCCGCCGAGCAAGAATGCACCCGCTCGAGCGAGAACGCCCTGCGGTCCAGGCCGACCCCACGCTGCTCATGCTGCTTCTGCTCTTGCTCCTGCTCCTGCTCCTGGTCGTCGTCGTCGTCCTCCTCCTCCTCCTCTAACGCCGTGCCCCTTTCTCGACCCGACGAGGGAAGAGGGAGGAGAGGGAGAAAGGGGAAGGACGAGGACCACGAGTAATAGGGGGCAGGGGAGGAGGCGGAAGCGAGGAAGAATCTGATCGGCAACCAGAAGCAGAGATATGGGGAGTAGGAGGACGAGAGGGGGACGACGACCAGGAGCAGGATAGTGACGCGGAGGAGCAGGTGGGAGGAAGAGGAAGAGGAGGAGGCGGAGGCGGAGGAGAAGGAGAAGAGGAGGAGTAGGAGAAGGAGGAGGGGGAGGAGGAGAAGGAGAAGGAGTAGGAGTAGGAGTAGGAGTAGTAGGAGTAGGAGGAGGAGGAGGAGGAGGAGGAGGAGGAGGAGGAGGGAGGAGAGGGAGGAAGAGGAAGAGGAAGAGGAAGAGGAGGAGAACGAGGAGCAGTGACAGGACACAGTATGCTTTCGTGCGTGCGTGCGTGCCACGAGGCCTTCTCCTGAGACCAAGACCTTAAAAACAATCTTGGCCTTCCGTAACATGGTGGCTCCCCAACGTAGGAGGCTTTTTGCCGGGCCTTCCGCAAAAAGGTGGCTCCCCATCGACGGAGACTTTTTGCTGGGCCTTCCGCAACATAGTGGCTCCCCAACGCCCAACGTAGGAAGCCTTTCGCCGGGCCTTCCGCAACATGGTAGCGTCCCACCGTAAGAAGGCTGTCCGCCAGGCCTCCCGCAACGTGGTGGCTCCCCTCGCCGGGCATACCGCAACGCGGTGGCTCTCCAACGTGGGAAGCTTTTCGCTGGGCCTTCCGAAACATGGCAGCGCCCAAATACGCAGGGGGGCTGTCCGCCAGGCCTTCCGCAACACGGTGGCTCCCCAGGTTCTCAGGGTCGTATGGTCTTCGGCTAGGTCCCTGGGGTCTCAGGGTCTGCGGGTCTTAGGGTCCTCGAGTCTTTGGGTCTTCGGGTCCTCAGGTCTGCGGGGGTCTTCGGGTCTTCGGGTTTTCGGGTTCTCGGATCCTCGGGCCCTCGGGTCTTAGGGTTCTAGGCACTTAGGGTCTTAGGGTCTTACTTTCCCAGGGTCTCAGGGTCTCGGGTCTTTGATCTGAATGTTCTAGGATCTTAGGGGCTTAGAGCCTTAGGGTCCTAGGCCCTTAGGGTCTTAAGGTCTTAAAACTTGAAGGTTTTAGGATATTCGGGTCATCGGGTCTTCGGGTCTTACGGCCTTCGGGTCTCCAGGTCTTCGGGTCTGCAGATCTTCGAGTCCTCAAGTCTTAGGGCCCTAGGGTCTTAGGGTCTTAGGGTCTTAGGGTCTTAATGTCTTAATGTCTTAGGGTCTTGTGGTTTTAGGTTGTGTCTTAGAGTCTTAGGGTCATTGGGTCTTTGGTTCTTCGGGTCATTGGGTCTTAGTCTAAGGGTCTTCGGGTCTTCCGGTCTTCGGGGCCTTCGGGTCTTCGGGTCTCGGGGTCTTCGGGTCTTCGGGTCTTCGGGGGTCTTCGGGTCTTCGAGTCTCGGGTCTTGGGATCTTGGGGTCTCGGGGTCTCGGGGTCTTCGGGTCTCCGGGTCTTAGGGTCTTCGGGTCTTCGGGTCTTCGGGTCATAAGGTCTTAGTGCCTTAGGGTCTTTGGGTTTGCGGGTTTTCTGGTAGTCGGGTCTTCGGGATTTCGGGTCGTCGGGTCTTGGGGCATTGCGGTCTTGGAGTCATCGGGTTTTCGGGTCTTCGGTTCTTCGGGTCTTGGAGTCTTCGGGTCGTCGGGTCTTCGGGTCTGAGGGTATCAGGGCGTTCGGGTCTTAGGGTTGTAAGGTTTTAAGAATCTTAGGGTCTTCGGGTCTTCTGATCTCAGGATGTTAGTGTCTTACTTCGGGTCTCAGGGTCTTAAGGCTCAAGGGTCGTAGGATGTTAGGAGTTCAAGGTCTAGGGGTTAGGGTTTAGGGTTCACTAGCCTCTCTTCGAAGCCCGCTGGACGTACCCCGCCCACCCATGACCCCATTACATACAAATCTCACCGCGTCGATGACGTCAGTGCGATGCGTCGTGCGCAGTACTTGCGCAGCGCCTCAACCCGATGCAGCGACGATGCCGACGCATTGGCGAGGAGCGCCTGGGCCGCGCCTGAGCCGCGACTGGGGGACGCCAAGGAAGCGCCTTGCGAGCGCCTGGGGCACAAACGCGCGCAGGCGCGTTCGGGATGGATTTGTTTGATAGAGGTCGCACGAGTTGGGAGGAACCTATGTGCGCCGCGACGTATGTTTTGCAAGGGATCCGGGCCGCATGCATGGGAAATCGTATTCTTGTTGCAAGGGATTCTGGCCGCACGTGATGAGATAGTATGCCGATGGACAACAATATCTCTTTTCATCTTGAGCCAAAATGGGCGCACGGAGGAGGGTGTCAGAATCACTCCTCCTCGGGCCTGGCCGCAAACCGGCCAGGCACGACCTAAGTCGTACGCGGGCGCGCCTGGGCCGACGCGCCCAGCTCACCAGCTAGGCTGCGGCCATGCCGCGAGCCCCTCACTCCGCCCGGCGCGATCATACCGCCGCCGGCGGAACCTCATCCAGCCCCACAGGTAGCGGAGCATGGATTCGATCCACTCCATCACTTGAAGTCCTTCTGAGTCGAACTCGGTGCCCGATCCCAGATATTCAGCGTCGCCATGTGTCTCCTCAAAAGGGATCCACCCACGCTCTTGGTCAGCACGTCCGCGACATTGTTCTTGCCAGGAACCGCAGCGATCGAGATGTCGCCCTTGCCAACACGCTCCTGGATCCACAAGTACCGTGATTGAACATGTCGCATCTTCCCGAGACCTCGCCGTTGGACGTGGCCCCGGGCCGCCGATGAATCTGAGGCAAGCTCCACCTTCAGGTCCAGCCCCCAATCCGCGAAGAGGCTGTGAAGGCCTAGGCCCACGCTCCCGCCCTTCACCAGGGCGTAGTACTCGCTCTCCCCGCTGCTCAATGAAACCGTCGACTGCAGGTTGCTGCCGTGCTTGACTACATGATGCCCTAGCATCGCCACGAAGCCTCCTGTGCTCTTCCGCGTGACTGCACAGCCTGCATGATCAGAGTCCACGTACACCCGGATCTTGTCGAACATCTTCTGCTCCGTGAAAACCGTCACCGTGCTAGGATGCCGCTTAAGGTAGCGGCCAACCCTCTTGAGCATGAGCCAGCTCGCCTCCGTTGGCGTCTGCATGGACCTAGCGAGCGTCTTCGATGCCTCTGCCAAGTCCAGCCTGTCCTGAGACAGGTAGGCCACCCTCATGGTGAGGGATCGGAAGCGCGAAGCTTCCGCTGCTCCCAACGCCGCCGACTTCGCATCCATCATCTGCTTGTCGGCGCTGCGCTTCTCCATCGGCGTGTCCACGCCGTTGGCCTTGCTGAGACCCAACTCGTCGATCACGATCTCCGCGTGCCGCTTGTCCGGCTCGATCATCGCATGCCGGCAGGGCCGGCCACCGCCAGGCGGAACTCCCGCACTGACCTCGATGACCCGATTCAGGAAGACCGCCTGCTTGTCATCGCCCTCGTCGAAGCCTAGGTTCGCAGTCTTCTTGAACTCGTACTTCTTGCCCAGCGTGGCCTCGAAGCTGTCGATGTCCTGCTGCTGAGCCAGCACCGCGAAGTCGTCGCCGTGCCCCAGCAGCCTCGTCTCGTCCACCTCCTTGTAGAAGACCGCTGGGCACGACACGCCCGCCTTGTAGCCGTGTTCCTCCAGCAGCTCCGTGTAGTCGCCCTGCCAGATCTTGCTGGCGTCCTGCGTGCCGTACCAGGACTTGAGGAGTAGGCCGCACTTGTCCTCGCCGTACTCCTTGCGACTCTCCTCCTCCAGCTCTACGAAGATCCTCCGCTGCGCCTTCCCGTAGAAGTGCGCCCTGCTGATGTCGAAGAAGCCGATCTTGAAGTTGCCCGGCTTCCTGCCCTTCTTGCGAAGCGACTCCTGAATGTGGAGCGGTGCTTCCCGCGTCCACGTGACCATCAGCGAGACCAGCGACCGCATGGCCTCCAGAGGAGGCATGGCCGAGAAGACCTCGGACGCCTCCAGCTGCTCGTCGGGGCGCTTCTTCGCCTTGATCTCCTTCACGACGAGCCTGCTCCTGTAGTTGGGCCTCTCCGCGTCACCCTTGTTCGTGTCGACCCACTTGAGTGGGATGGGCGGACGCCCAGTCTCGGCGAAAGCCTGAGACCTCGGGACGATCTCGATCAGCTCCTGCTTCTTGACCCACTCGCGCTCGACCGCGCGAGCCTGGGCCACAAGGCCCGCCTCCAGGTAGCCGCCATTGACGTCGTCCCAGTAACTCGTCCAGTCCCCGGGCGGCACTGCCGCGTCCACAGGGACTGGGCCCGACTGCTGCACCTGGGCGGTGCTGAGCTCTCCCACGTCATTCAGCGTGTCCTTGAGCTCCTCCAGCACCGCCTCTACCAACTTCGGTGGATAGACCTTCGCGAACCGCGCGATGCCGCCCACGAGCGTGATGTGGCGATGCCATTCCGCGCGGCCGTCCACATTGCTGCAAGTGCCCTGCAGCCTCCGGGCTAAGCCTGGATGGTTGGTGACCCATCCGGTCTCCTTGCGCACGAACTCCTCCTGACCACTGCGTGGGTTCGTGAGCTTCATGCCCCACCGACACATGGGGCCTTTGACCGTGAAGACTCCTGGATGCGCGACCAGCTCCTTGACGATGTCCTCATTCCACGATCGCGCGCTCCAGGGATGCTCATGCAGGAAGTACCTGCCTGGCTTCCTGAGCTGACGCCAGTAGGCGTCGACTGCCACCTTCAGGTGGTGTCTGGCCTCCTCCATCTCAGCTGCCTCCTGCTCATCGGTCCTGAACTTGGCGCTCAGGCCCCTCAGCAAGCTGAACTTCTCGCATGGAGGGGACCCCGCGAGCAGGATGGGATCCATCCGCTCCTGCTGCCTCTCGAGCTCCTTGACATCCTCGGGGCGCCGCAAGTCCCACGGCGTCCCGTCCTCCTTGAGTTCCTCCAGGTCCGCCGCGAAGCCCGGGCGCAGCTGAAATTCCGCTGCCCGAGCCGAGAACCGATGTGGCGAGTACACCTCGGCCACGTCCACGGCGCCCAGCTGCAACGCCGATAGGGCGATGCTGTCCACCTCTTCGTCGGCGATGTCCACGCCGGCGCTGGCCCAATGGCCACTGACCTGTTCGCGAACGAGCGGGAGCAACTCCGCCTTCGCTCTCGTCAGCACTCCGAGCTCAACCAGCTCGATCGACGCCATATCGAGGGCGAGCACCCGCATGTGCCTCCCCTCACTGGCGTTCCACACGACTGCCACTCCAGCTGGCAGCTGAGGTCCTTCCGCTGGCGCCGGCTGCGCCGCGAGATCCTCCATGTCCACCGGTACCGGCACGTCTGCCGGCTGTGGATCACCGCGCTCGAGGGCCTCCGGCACGTCATCCGGGGCCACCTCTGCCAAGCGCTTCAGCCGCGACCTGGCCGCGGTCATGTCGACATCCGCGGCGGCCTCTGCCGCTCGCGCCGCTCCCGAACTGGAGCTCGCTCCTCCTGAAGGAGCCGCCACGCCGAAGCCCGGTGCTACCGGCTGGCTCTCTCGCATGCGCGCCGCTGTGGCTGCCACGGCTGGCGCTGCTGCCGATCGGGCCGCGGCCGGCGCGGCCGATGCCGCTGCCGCCGCTGCCACCGGCTCGGTGATCCTCCGAGCCGTCTTCGGCGGAGGGGTCCCTGCCGCGGCCGCTGCCGCTGGTCGGACTCTGGCCTCTTGGCCCTGCCTCCGTTCTCGATACTGGCCGGTCCTTTCCCGGCCTGCCTCCTCCGCGTCCAGCGCTTCGAAGATCCTCTTGCTGCACACCGCGTTGTGCGCGTGGCCAGCCAGCACCCGGCCGTGCTTGGCGATCGAGACGCACCCTGGGCATCCCGGCGTTGCGCCCAGCCGCTCGACGTCCGCCTTGAGGACGTACATCCTCCTCGGCGCCTGCGGCTGCGGCGACACCACCACAATTGGTGGCGGACCGACCTCTCCAGGTCCGACGATGGCCCGCGGCGCGCTTGCCGCACGCGGAGCCACGTCCCACGGCAGGCCCTTCAGGCCATCCCAGCCCACCGTGATCCACTTCTCGCTCTGCGGCAGGCTGCGAAAGCCGACCGCCTTCTTCACGCCGTCGCTCGTGATGACCATCATCGAGCCGTCGCGCGGGTGGTGGCCGATGTAGCGAGCCTCCACCATCTGCTCCTCCAGCGCGTTCTTCCTCGCGCGCTCCCCGGCGAACCGCGCCATCAAGCGCTCGCCGAAGAGCGGGACCGGCTTCCTCCACTGCCGTCCCGTGAGCCGCTGAAGAGCGGTCTTGCCATCCTGGCCGCGCCGGTATCGGTTGATTACCGATGCGGCGTGCTCCGGCAGGTGCGCTAGCACCGGGTGCTTGTCCTCCACCTTGACGCCCAGCTTGGACTCCAGGTCCATCTTGAGCGCCCGCACCTGCTTCTTAATCTCGCGCACCGTGACCTCGATCTCCCCGTTGGCCTGATGATCGGCCGGTGCCGACTCCTGGGGAATGGCCTCGAGGCCAGGAACCTCCTCCACCGCACGCCTCTTGACCAGCAGGATCGCTGGCTCGCCGTCGGACTTGTTGACGATCTTCCTGTAGCCCAGGATCCGCAAGAAGCGTGCGAAGAACTTGATGGCGTAGGCGTCGTCGCCCTTCTTCTCCACGAATGTCGCTGCCATCATCTTCGAGCGCCGATCCCTAAGGACCAGCATCGGCATGGTGTCCGCGTCGTCCTGGCCCATGAAGGCGTAGTCGGACGAGACCACCGGCACCGCCGTCTCGTCGTCCTCCGGTGCGCGGAGATGCGGCTGGCCTTGGCCCTTTGCCGCAATACACACGCGACACCAGCTGCGATAAGTCGCGTGTCCCATCGCCTCGTGTTCGCGATCTCCCTCTGAGAGGGCTCATGAGGTGCCTTCAGCACTCTCGGGCGAGCCTCCTCCTCGCCCTCGTCGGCCTGCTGTCCATCAGGAGCAGCTGGCAAAGCGTCGGCCGCAGCAGCTGCCGCTGGCTGAAAACCCGGCGGTCTCACGTCGGAAGGCCCCGACCCCGCCGCTGCCGCCCCCGCAGCCGATGCCGCCGGGGGCCGTGGTATTAAGTCCTCCAGTGGGCTTACGCCGAGGGCTGCCTCCTGGGGACTGTCTTCTCGAGGATCTCCAGCAGCTCCTCCTTCGACTTGCCGCTGAGGAGCTCCACCAGCTCGGACTTCGACTTCGCCGAAAGTCCCTCCTCGAGAGGAGCAACCGAGCCATGTTGGCCCTTCTTGAGGTAGAAGTTGTAGACGCCCTGCTCGCGATAGACCGGCAGCATCTGGTGCTTCGCCGCCTTCGCCTCCTTCTCGAGCATGCCTACCACGCGCTTGCCGATTGGGCTCTTCTCGTGGAATATCCAGCCGCCATTGCGACCCAGGAATGAACACTGTCCAGCTCCTGCTGCCTGCCCCACCGAGATCAACGGCTTGTGCACGTTCGTCACGCGTCCCTTGAGTGCTCGTAGCACTCCGTACTCGTCCTCCGCCTTGAGCTGCAAGCTGCCCTCGTCCGGGACGAGCTCACCACTGGCCGTACGATACGTGCTGCCGTTGCCCTTCATTCCCGTCGGCGGCGCGAAGCTCCGAGGGAATGCTGAGATAGCTGCACCGCTGTCCCAGTTGAACTTCATCCAGTCGTCCTGCGCGAAGGGGGAGAGATCGACCGCCGCTACGCCGCGGCCGCTGCCGCTGGCGAGCTCCAGGCAGTCCAGGCTGCCCATGTCCAGAGCGGCGACCTCCGCTTCAGGCTCCTCCTCCAGGCTGCCTGCCGCCTTGCCGCCGGCCTTGCCGCCGCGGCTACCGGCTTTACCACCAGCGCTTGCCCCCGTTGCGGATCCAGTTCCAGCCCTCGTACTCGATCCCTGCTCTCTCTTCCAGCAGTCGGATGCCTTGTGGCCCCATCTCTCGCAGTTCCGACAGTAGCCGTCGAAGCGCCCGCTGGTGCTTCGAGGTGCCGTGTGCCCTGAACCACGGCCCGAACCCGTCGGGGATGTGCGGGAGCCTGAGTATGATCCGTTCGTCGATTTGCTCTTCCCCTTCGGCTCCTGAGTCTTGCCTTTCCCTTTGCTCTTGCCGTCCTTGCCCTTGCCTTTGCCTTTGCCCTTCGGGGCTCCGAATGACCCGACGTCCATGTCGTCCGGATGATGTGCCCGCGCACGGATCGATGGCTCCTTGATCTTCACGCCGGTCCGAGCCTCCACGATCGTCATCACCTCGTTCAGACTGTCCTGGAACGTGACGAGCCGATGCTTGTTGAGGACGAGGTGGTTCTCGATGTCCTGAGGCACGAGCATCTCGAGGGCCGCCATCTTGATATCCTCCGGCAGCTCGGCTAGACCATCTTCTCCTTGGCGGCGTTCGTACCTGCCTATCTGCTGGATCCACTTCTCTAAGGCTGATCCCAGCTCGTCCGCGCTGCACTTCGGAGGCGAGATGATCGACCTCAGGATTAGCCTCTTCCTCGGACCTGTCGTCGGATCCCACCTGCGGTGGAGCTTCCGCCAGGCTTCGAGACCGTTCCCATCGGGGGCGCCCGTCACGAGGTCGTTGCTCTCGCTGCCGTCCGCCGTCGTGCTGATCAGCGCCGCGTACAGCTGGTTGACCTTGGTCTCCAGCTCTGGTACTCCGTCGTGCGCCGCCTGTGCCCCCTCGATCGTCACGGGGCGTTCGGCTTCTGCAGCCCACCGAAGAACGGGACGGAAGCTCTCTCCGTACACACCTATCACGTAGTTCTCCATCTTGCGATTCCAAGCCCCGAACTTCTCTTGATCGTCGCCCATCGTCGTGGGCTTGCCAATCCCCTTCGTGTCGACGAGACCTTGAGCGGCTCCTCCCGCGCTCGACGCGCCTCTGATCTGCTCGCCCATACGTTCTATCGCCTGCGGAATTGCCGCGAGGCCTCCTGCTACTTGTTGCTGAAGCCGCTGATTCTCGTTCTCCAGCCTCCTCATCTCGTCGGCGGTCTGACTCATTCGAGCCGCGAACTCCTGCCTCAGCAGTTCGAACTGCTGCCGAACCTGCTCGTCCATGTTTGACAGCGTGTCTCTCGGCGAGCTCCTCCCTGCTCTCAGCTATCTCCTGCCTCGTACGCTCGAGGTCCGTGATCCGTCCTAGGACTTCCTTCTGCGTTCTCTCGACAACGTCTGAGGAGTTCTCCGACGGATGGTCCTCGATGTGCGCGAGGTCACGAAGCCTGTCGCCTGCCTCCCTCAAGTCGTGCTTGAACTGGAGCTGCTTGCGCCTGGTCTCAATCGCTGCGTCGCTCCTCTTGCCGCGCCTGCGGCCACTCTTCCCGGCCCCTGCCGGTTGCTCGGTCGCTGCCGAGCTCGCTGCGGCCGGTGCCGCCCTCTTCCAGCCTCGAGCTTCCTGCCAGCTCGCCGTGGCGCCCGCGGCCGCGGCGCGCCGAGGCCTTGGTGGGGTCGGCAGCAGTGAGTGGCCAGCTCACGCTACCATGATGAGATAGTATGCCGATGGACAACAATATCTCTTTTCATCTTGAGCCAAAATGGGCGCACGGAGGAGGGTGTCAGAATCAGCACGGGCACAACACCGTAATTTTTGATAGGGGAAATGGGGGGCGTCGAAGGGGGGGCATAAAGGCAAGGGCAGTCCGTAAGGGATCTCAAGGCTTACATCTTTATATGCTCTTAGTTTTTAGGTTTTGGGGCTTTTGGTTTGTGGATTTGGGCTTAGGGTTAAGGTTCCCCATACGGGCCTTCCGCAACACGCAGCCGCTCCTTCCCAAACCATCCGGGCCTTCCGCAACACGGAGCCGGGCCTTAAACGAACTGCCGGACCTTCCGCAACGCGCAACCGGGCCTTCCCAAACCGTCCCGGCCTTCCGCAATACGGGGACGGGCCTTCCCAAACTGTCTGCTGGGCCTTCCGCAACACGCAGCGGGCCTTCCCAAACAGTCCGGGCCTTCCGCAACACAGGGACGGGCCTCCCCAAATCGTCCACGCCTTCCGCAACACGCAGCCTGGCCTTTCCAAACCGTCCCGGCCTTCCGCAACATGGGGACGGGGCCGTGACAACCCATCTGGGAATCTGGGCCTTCCGCAACACAGACCTCTCGATGTTTTGAAGGCCTGCATGGTTATTTCAATACCCGAACCCGTCTCTTCCTCCCTGCTTCCTCGTCCTCCCTCCCCTTCCTCCATCTGTCCTCGTCGTCCACGTCCTCCACGTCCTCCTGTCGTCCACGTCCTTCACGTCCTACTCCTCGCCCGCCTCCCGCTCTTCCGCCTCTCCCTCCTCCTCGGCATCGCAGTATCAGTCTTTCCCGTCTCCCTCCTCTTCTCCCTCCTCCTTCCCATCGCTTCAGCTCCCTCCCTCCCTCCCTCCCTCGCTCCCTCCCTCTCTCCTACACCACATCCTCCTCATCCTTGTCCTCGTCCTCGTCATCCTACCTCCTCCCTCCACTTCGCTCCTCCCTCCTCTCCCCTTGCCTCTCACCCATTCTGTCTTCTGCTCATATTGGTCCTCCTCCGCATCCTCCTCCACCCCCCTTTGCACGTCCTGCCACTCCTCCTGATCCCGCCTGCTTCGCTCCTCCTCCTCCTCCTCCTCCTCCTCCTCCTCCTCATCATCATCATCATCATCATCATCATCAGGAAGATCGTCGTCGTCATCATCATCATCAGCATCATCATCAGCATCATCAGCATCATCATCATAATCAGAATCAGCATCATCAGCATCATCAGCATCATCATCATCATCATCATCATCATCATCATCATCATCGTCATCATCATCATCATCATCATCATCATCATCATCATCATCATCATCATCATCATCATCATCATTAGCATCGTCATTATCATCATCATCGTCATTATAATCATCATCATCCTCAGTTGCATAATCATCATCACAATCAGCAGCACCACAATCAACCTGAACATCAGCATCAGCATCATCATCATAATCGTCACAATGATCATCAGCATCATCAGCATCATCAGCATCAGCATCAGCATCATCATCATAATCATCATCACCATCGTCATCATCATCATCATCATCACCAACACCAGCATCATCAGATTCATCATCATCATCATCATCATCATCATCATCATCATCATCATCATCATAGTCATAGTCATCAACATCATCATCACCACCACTACCACCACCATCGTCATCACCATCATCAGCATCACCAGCCTCATCAGCATCGTCATCATCACCACCACCATCATTACCATAACCATAATCCTCGTCATCAGTATCAGAATCAGCATCATCATCATATTCAGCATTGCCATCATCACCATCATCATCAGCATCATCATCAGCATAACCATCATAATAATCATTATCATCAGCATCATCATTACCACCATCATCATCAACATCATCATAAACATGAACCTCATCATCACAAACATCACCATCACCATTATCATAATCATCATCATCATCATCATCATCATCATCATCATCATCATCATCATCACCGCCGTTGTCGTCATCGTCGTCCTCATCCTCCTCCTCACTTTCCTTCGCACCACCACCAATACCACCACCATCATCAGCAATATCAAAAGCAACATCATCATCCTCATCATCATCATTAATATCATCACCATCAGCATCAGCATCACCACCGCCATCATCAGAATCATCATTAGCATCATCATCATCATCATCATCATCATCAGCATCATGATTAGTATCATCATTATCATCATCATCATAAGCATCATCAGCGTCATCAGCACCATCATCATCATAATCGAACTCAGCATCGTCATGCCCATGATCATCCTGCACATGATCAGCATCAATCATCAGCATCAGCAGCATCATCACCATCAGCAGCAGCATGATCATCATCAACCACATCACCATCATCATCCTTATCATCATCATCATTACCATCATCATCAACATCATCATCATCAACATCATCAGCATCATCGTCATCATCAACAACAAACCCTTCCGCCCTGTGAATCCCCCCCTCATGCCCCTTATCCCTCCTCCTCCTCCTCCGCCTCCTATCTTCCCCCCCATACCTCCCCATCCTCCCTGCCCCTCCACAATTACACAATATGAAAATACTCTCCCACTTCCCCTGATGGCGTCCGGAAGATATTCGGCACCCCCCCGCGTACTGTTTTTTTACACACAGGATTCCCCGGAGTTGGGTTTTCGCTTGTGTTTTTTTTCTAAAATTCTGCTCTCGCTGAGGCGCCGGCCTCATTTCTGCTCCCGAATCGTTCCGAATCGTGCTCCCGCTGCAGCGTGGGCCTCATTTTCGGATCGGTGTGTGGCCTCCGTCGTTCAGGATGGCGTTCTCGCCCCAGCGCGGGCCTCTTTCTCGCGCGCCCATCCGCCCGCCCCCACCGCGCCGCACCACAACCCCCAACACCCACCACCACCACCACCACCAACCCCACTCACCACCCCAGCACCACCCGCACAGCACCAGCGACCAGCACCATCACCAGCCCCAGCACCGACACCACCACCAGCCCATGCACTCCAGCACCACCACCACCACCACTCACCACCACCACCACCACCACACCGACGCACACACTCCACGCACGCACGCACGCGCACCACCACCCACTAGTTACGCACGCGCGCGCGGAGCCACAGGTGGTCCGCTACGACACGCGTCCGCGGATAGAGAAAATCAGCGCCATGGTAAGGGATGGGAGGGAGGGGTAGGACGTCAGATATGACGCGAGCGCACCTAGCTTGTCCCTCCCCCTCCTCCCCATCCCCCCGGGGGGGCGGCGCAACGAACATCTCGTATCCTTCAGCCGGTCGAAAAAGCTCACCACTGGCCGATCGCGAGGAGCGGGTGCAGGCGCCGGAGAGGCCTGAGGGAGGATGAGGGGGAGGAGGGAAGAGGGGTGAGGAGAGAGGAGGCGGGGGAGGAGGAAGGGGAGGAGAACATGGAGGTACGAGGTACAAGCAGAGGGAGCATGGAGACGGATCAGGAAGGCGGATCGGCAGGCGGAGCAGTCCGCGGGGCGAGTGCGCATCAGCAGGCTAAGGGGGAGCCGCAAAAGGAAGATAAGACGGGGAAGGGGATCGCCAGGAGGAGGAGCAAGGAGAGATGGAAGAGGGAGCGGAAGGGGGAGGCTCCAGATGGCTCCAGACAACGACGAGGAGCTCCCAGGACGAGGCACCGCCCAGGTCATGATGTCTACCCCGCCCGAATAATCACCTCCCCAGACGTGCGAGGTCCTGATGTGTTCCATACGCGGTCCTAAGAAAGCTCGAACCATGCCCCGGGACCGGGACCGGTGTTTTATCCTGAGTCGTGCTTCAACGGGCCCCAGACCTAGCGAAGGCCCCCGGAGGACAGGACGTCTCGACCCATGCCCCAGGACTGGCGCTCCACGCCGCATCGTTTTGTTTGTCGGTCCCGCGGCCTGGCGAGGGCTCGTGGAGGCCGACGACGAAGGCCTGCTGCCCTCATTTTTTCGTACAGCCAGCTCGTATCATGAGCATGCGCGGCAAGGATGCAAGAGCCTTGGATGGCCATGTTCACGTTTCTCGAACGAGGCTGGCCAACGAAAGCGGGCGAGGATGCACCGAGCAGGCAAGGATACAAGAGCAACGGGAATGCTGCCCGTGCTTGCTGTGCCGGTTGAGCGTGCGACCGACGCAAACGTCTAGGTCTGGGCCGCCCCTTGGAAGGCCTCGGATGAAGGGGCCCTGGGACACACAGACAAATAGACACAAATTACAGGATCCCCCATATGTTCCCATATTTGCTGGGTTTTTGTCGTCCCCGCCACTTCCCATATTTTCCAATATCTTCCCATATTTTCTGGGGAATCGACGATTAATTGTGGCTCTGTGTTCTTTGTTTCCTCCTGATTGGGGGCCCCCGCGCCTTCGCGGCCTGCGGCGCGGCGGCGCCCCCGCCGCCCGCGCTGCGCCCGCCGGCAGCGGGCGCCCCGCCGCCCGCGAGGCCGAGGCCGCCGCAGGGCCCAGGCCCGGCGGCCGCGGGCGCCGCCCGGAGCTCGGCCTCCGCGGCCGGAGATGCCGCGGCGGCTCCTGGGGGCCTCCTCGTCCTCGTCCTCCTCCTCCTCCTCCTCCTCCGCCTCCTCCGCCCTCCTCCGCCTCCTCCGCCTCCTCCTGCCTCCTCCTCCTCCTCCTCCTCCTCTCCTCACTTCCTCCTCCTCCTCCTGCTCCACCTCCTCCCTCCTCCCTCCTCCTCCTCCTCCTTCGCTCCTCCTCCTCCTCCTCCTCCTCCTCCTCCTCCTCTGCTTTTGCTTTTCTCCTTCTCTTCTCCTGCTCCGCACGCCAGCAACTGCCTCACTGCGCCTCCTCCTCCTCCTCCTCTCCTCCTCCTCCTCCTCCTCCTCCCCTCCTCTTTTCTGTCTTTGGAAAAGGCTTAGAAATCTTCTCAGACGGACCCGAGCCTTCTGAGGAGGCCCGCCCCTTCACACTTCCCCCCCTCGCTCGCCGCCGACCCTAGGCCCCACCCTCCTCCGCAGCTTCCTGCTCATTGAGATTGACGCTGTGATGCGTCATCAGATCGAGAGGGGGCCGAACGGTCCTACACGTTCCCTGGGTGCGTGGCTTTGATGGGGTTTCCTCGGTGCGAAGTGTCGATTGTATCGTTCTTCTTGTTGTCGTCGTTGCCCACCCGCGACGCACCCACGCTGCTTTGACGCGAGTCAGAAGAACGCCTGCGGCGGGCTGTTCGAAACCTGTTTTCGAGCCCCTCAGACAGCCGACGACCCCCCGAACCCTCACTCGCATGCACAACTACAGGTCGTGGTAGTCTGCATACGGGGGAGGCGCAAGCAAGACTAGAAACTTAAACCATGTAGAGATAACGTCCAAGAGGAAGAGGGAACGACGGCACCACGAGACGACAGGGAGGCCTGCGACTGAAGTTCTGAACCAAGGAGGGATGGAGGGAGCAGATGAGTGGGGGACCACCACCTCCTCTTCCTCCTCCTTTTACTCCTCCTCTTCTTCCTCCTCCTCTTCCTCCTCCTCCTCCTCCTCCTCTGCCTTCTCCTCCTCCTCCTCCTCCTCCTCCTCCTTCTCCTCCCCCTCCTCCTCCTCCTCCTCCTCCTCCTCGTCCTCCTCCATGCTCCTCCTTCTCTCCTCCCGTCCTCTCCTCCTTTCCCTCCTCTTCCCTCCTCCTCCTCCTCCTCCTCCTCCTCCTTATCCTCCCCCTCCTCCTCCTCCTCCTCCTCCTCCTCCTCCTCCTCCTCCTCCTGCCGAGTCTCTTTCCCATCTGCGGGGGAATGCCAGGGACCCTCGCCCACCGTCTTTTTCAGTGCCCAGCTTGCCAAGGTTGGAGGCGAGACGCCCTGCCCGCAATGTTGGTCGACGCTGTGCGGAGGCGTGCCACGTGCACGACTGAACAAAGAACGTCTGCACGCGTCCCGTGTTTTCGTGGTGCGGGCTGTGGTATCGCAAGGCATGACGAAGAGCTCCGCTACCAGGAAGGGCGGCTCGGAGTTGTCCCCCCGCGGTGTGCCCAGGTGGCTTTGAGTCACCTGGTGGGCACGTGTTCGCTTTACTCTGAGTGCAAAGTCTCGCTGCAGTGTGGCGGGAGTATAGGTGTCGCCAAGAGGCCATCTAACATCCGCCCCCATCGTAGGAAGCGCACTTTGGCAGACGGTGGATCACCTGGGATTGCCTTCAAGAAGGTGGGGACACACAACAGCATGAAAGATGTGCGCGAAGGACACATCTCGGCATGTGCGCATGGAGGTACCAAGGCTGCCATTCGTGTGGCAACCATAGGTGCTGGGCTGGCGAGGAGAGACCCGTCGGTCTTTCTCATGTCTGCGTGCATGATTTCCTTGGCAATGACCCTGCTCCGATTCAGCAGCAGGGCCGAAGCCCGTTACTCAGATCTAGAAGTGTCGCATACGTATCCTGGGAGCCCAGGGTCTCATGAGGGTGGTGTCGCGAGAGAAGGAGGCGCTGGTGGAGCTGGTAGGGGGTGCGAAAGCTGCGGCTGCTAATGCTCCCCCTCCCAGTGCTCCCTCCCCATCGGCTGGCAGCCCGAGCGAGCAGCGGGGTCCAGAGCAGGTCTCGACGGCCCTAGACTCGGACCGAGCACCCTGGGTTTCCAGGGGACATCGTTTGCTGAAATGTGATGCGGTGGCCAAAAGGCCAACCACCGATGTTGGTCTGCTCCGTTTGCGAAGGCTACGCTTCATTCTCGCAATGCTACATCGAGCTTCGAGTTGCGGCGGCTCCCAGCAGGCTCTGGTGGTCCCTGACATGAAGAATACGAAGTCTGCGTTTAGGGGCAAGCACCCTATCGGACCTCTCAAACTGGGCCCCTGGAGGACTCCCAATGCGGCGGCTCGGGAGATGGCGGATGGTCTTGGAATGGTCCCATGGGGGCCAAAAGCGAAAGGCCAGACACGGGCCAGATATAGGCCCGCCTGTGTGTGTCTGCCCTGCTGACTTTCTCGAAGCCTTTGGGCTAAGCGAGCCCGAAGCGCGAACCCTCGGACAATGGAGCGAGCGCCCTGAAAACCAAGGCCTCGGTACTGACTCAGACGGCGGATAGATCCTCCAGGTGGGCCCTGTCGTGGGCCATGGGCAGGTCTCTGGCCGTCCCGCATGCGGTCGACAAAGGTGCACTTGGATGGGCCCCCCTGGGGGGAAGAGTGGTCGGACTGTCGGACTTCGCTTTCCCCCCGTTCCCCTCAGTGGCGTGCGATCCTCCTCATCCTCCTCCTCCTCCTCCTCCTCCTCCTCCTCCTCCTCCTCCTCATGTTCCTCCTCCTCCTCCTCCTCCTGTTCCTCCTCCTCCTCCTCCTCCTCCTGCTCCTCCGCTATCTCCTCCTCCTCCTCCTCCTCCTCTTCCTCCT